TGTTAATACATTATCTATACGGCTACCGTTTCTCTATACGGCCGTAGAATGTAAGTGGCTGTTATGCTACTGGGGTAGCCGCTGGTTGTACCAGGTCCTCATGGTTGTCACTGCGGCGTTAAACAACATAAATTCAACCACTTTTCAGGAACATATTCCGGTTAGTTTCCATGATAGTCCGATGTTCACTGCACACAATCTCTCTCAGGCACAGGTGTTGGTGGTATCTATGTTATCTTATGGCTCAGTATATCCTGACAATTTCTTACTGAGTACCTGAAAACTAGGTGTTTGATGAAGTCGTTTGACATCAAACTCAGACCCCTCCTGTTTTCTGCTTATATCTGTTCTATTTTTATGGATTTACAAAACATCGGTAAAACAATAATCAGTTAAAACAACTTGTAAGTAAATACCAAGCTATATCAGTTTAAGATCTGTTTATCGCCGCCATATGGCTGGAATATTGCTGAGTTCGGCGTAAAACTAAACTCACTCACTCACTAAGCTCTGTTTAAAAATATTTCTGAATATTCCAGGAATATCCTACCTTATAACTAATACATTTTGAATAGCTACGGTAGAACATTGTATTAGAATTTAAATGTCTATACTGATACCAGTGATACCAGTCTTATTGCCAGTACTAGAGACTGTCATTTCAGTTATGATTTGATGGTATACTTTAACAGATGATAAATACCAAAGAAAACATGTTGGTGGTCTTGAATATTTTTGAGGATATTTTTTCATAGACATATCCACCCAAATATTCTCCACCCTTTTTTGTTTTGTTATCTGCAATGTTAAAATCGCCGACATCATGTTTTTCTTGAAGGGTAACAGGGAAGACTATTATCACAGAAGTAAAGTTTCCTTGTTTTATAGCTAATTTATCAAATACAGACGATTCGAGGTGTTGCAAAAATGAGAGTGTCCTGCCCTGTCTGTGGCAACCTTCATAACACATGCGAGAGAAGGCAAATTTTCAACTAAAAATTCGGGAACGTGGTACAAATCACAATTCGACTGACTTCGTTTATCTTACTGATAATTTGGAAATGTAATCTGCGTCTACCATAAAACTTTGGGAGGCTTTACTGAGGCCTTGAAAGTTGAAACCTTGATCAAACAACCTTTGAGCGAGTGTTGTAGGACGCTCTTAGAACATTTGGTAGAAGAGCAAGCTCAATTGTGCCCCAAATGTTGATACCAAACACTGTAGTTGTTGGAATTCGACATAAAAGGACAGTTGACAGTTAGAAACTTGAGGCCATCCAAATTTGTTCAGCAGATTTGTTGAGAGTTTGCAGCACTCTGAATCTTTATCACTAGATCTAAATAATTAAACTTAGTTTACAGGCCTCGTAGGATCCAGTTCAAGTGTCACGATGTCAAACCAGATATCGGTGTTAGCATCTACACCAAAACGTCGCTTACATTAATAATAAAGAAGTTGTATATCCATAGAACTTACCCCATTGCCCAAATGTTCTGATGAAGTTAAATACACGTTACTTATGTTACTATAAGCGATTAAAACTGAGGCTGAGTGGTCAGACTGGCGACTGAGAACGAGCATCTCAAGATTGTGGATGATGGAATGTTATCGAAACGTTTCACAATCCTGTATACACCTTTGTTAATGAATACACTGTACATTGTCGAAAACTATATCTACTCACTCACTCAAGACAATGTGAAGGTTTACTATATACCAACAAAGAATATATTGGTCTGATTAAGCTGAACACATAAGTGGAAACTTTCTAAATGAGTACTTCATCATAATCATCCACACCTTGAAGCCACAGTCAGCTTATCAACCGTCCAAGTCAATCACAGAAGTAATATCTGGATAGCGGAAGAATACGTCGGTCAGCGCCGATGGGCCATATACACCCACCCCCCCCCCCCCACCCCCACCCCCCCAGGAACTCAGTTGTCTCCGCACAACTGGTGCCTTTCCCCTGGATATGTACATAGAGTAGTAATAAAGAAGAATGAAATCGGAAGCTGGCAATCTGTGTCTGAGAGAGAGTTTCAAATACCATTCTGTCAATGATACTCCTAAACGTCATGCGGTAGATAAGTAAAGAAGGCGGCACCAGAAATTGAACGGGCGCTGTTTTTTCGCGCCAGGTCAGTGTTAGCTGGGGATTAAATATAATGAAACATAGCAATTGGTCAGTTGGGCATATTGCTTGGTTTCGCACCGAGAAATATGACAGGATACTGCTCCTTTTTGCATACCATAGTAATTGACCATTATTGCATTATAATTATGTATGTATGTATGCTACAAACATAACACATTAATGCATAAGTGGGAATAGTAGAAGAGTATGGCTAGAATTAAACATCAGTGAATTACACTTGAGCCGTTACAACCCTTGAACATCCGGGTTAGGTCTTCAGCAACCCATGCCTGTCATAAGAGGTGGCTAACAGGATTGGGTGGTCAGGCTCGCTGACTTGGTTGACACATGTCATCGTATTCCAATTGCGTACATCGATGCTCTTGTTGTTGATCACTGGATTGTCTGGTCAAGACTCGATAATTTACAGACCGCCGCCATTAAACAACCAACCAAACACGTCGTGTGTCAAAACTCCCACCGTTCTAAACCGACAGATATATCAACGAACACTACAGAAGCAATGAACAGTCATTCGCCATGCTGTTAGTTAACACCTTGATAATCGATAACTATCTGACACTTGACACCTGGGCAGTCGGTGTATATCTCACACATAACACCTGGAAAACAGGTGTATATCTCATAAATAACACATAAAAAACCCGATGTATAAACAGTGCATCTCGCACACATAACGCATGGTGAATCGATGCCTATTTCATACATGACACCTGCAGAATAAGTGCATATCTGAAACATGACACCTGAAGAATCGGTGTATATCTGAAACATGACACCTGCAGAATCGGTGCATATCTCATACATGACACCTGCAGAATCGGGGTATATCTGAAACATGACACCTGCAGAATCTGTGGATATCTGAAACATGACACCTGTAGTATCGGTGTATATCTGAAACATGACACCTGCAGAATCGAGGCATATCTGAAATATGACACTTGTAGAATCGGGGTATATCTCAAACATGACACCTGCAGAATCGGGACATATCTGAAACATGACACCTGCAGAATCGGTGCATATCTCATACATGACACCTGCAGAATCGAGGCATGTCTGAAACATGGCACCTGTAGAATCGGGGTATATCTGAAACATGACACCTGCAGAATCGGTGTATATCTGAAACATGACACCTGCAGAATCGAGGCGCATCTGAAACATGACTCCTGCAGAATCGGTGCATATCTCATACATGACACCTGTAGAATCGGGATATATCTGAAACATGACACCTGGAGAATCGAGGCATGTCTGAAACATGACACCTGCAGAATCAGGGTATATCTGAAACATGACACCTGCAGAATCGGGACATATCTGAAATATGACACCTGCAGAATTGGTGCATATCTCATACATGACACCTGTAGAATCGTGATATATCTCAAACATGACACCTGGAGAATCGAGGCATGTCTAAAACATGACACCTGCAGAATCGGGGAATATATCATACATGACACCTGCAGAATCAAGGCATATTTCAAACACGACACCTGCAGAGTAGGACATATCTCATACATGACACCTGTAGAATCGGTGCATATTTCATACATGACGACTGTAGAATCGGGATATATCTCAAACATGACACCTGGAGAATCGAGGCATAGATGAAACATGGCACCTGCAGAATCAGGGCATATATCCCACATTAACAGCTGATGTTAGGTGTCTCACATCAAGTACAAAGAGCACTTTGCCGCTGTAACGATCTGTAAGCCTCGTTACACCAATCAACAGTTTGCATCATGCTGGGCTAGAAAATAGATGGGTCTATCGACACTCTTGTTTGTCTTCATCATTCTCTGGACAGAAGGGATGGAGGTAATTCATCTCTTGGCAACCACTTTTCATCCATGCCTCCTAAGACGCCTCGTCGGAAACAATGCCTATCACATATCAACGATATGTTGGCCATCCCGGTACAGATTTGATCACATTGAAAAGGACACGTTATTGACATTTTCCACGCCTCAAGGTCTAAATGTCTTTTCAATTCACCGACCTGCACGTCTATTTAACGGGAAAACCAACCTGTTTCTCATTCTGAGCAACAAGACACAATGGTTAAATAGTACTGGGGTTTTTTGATTGGTTTTGGTGAGCATGGTCCGAAACACTGAAACGGACAAAATTTAAACATTGTCAATTAAAACACCCCGAAAATATATACAATTACGAAATCAAACTGACATACAAAAAACTATCATTAATTATATTTTTAAACCTCAGGATAATCTTTTAGATGAAATACTAACATTATCTAAAGATCCCCTTTACACTTGGGTAATGAAATAGAATAATTCAACCGAATACTAGGGCTACTTATACATCTGGATAAAACTGCCTCCGGCGCTATTGGAGCGCTGTCTTCTAAGTATGCAAAATAATCTCTTGACGATATAAAGAGGTATTTTCGAAGTCCATTCACAGAAATCCAATAAATCTAACCAAAATGGCACAAGAATGCCCGGCTAGAATAGAAATCGTTATTGTTTCGGTATTGGTAGTGGCCGTATATAAACTATTCCACCAGAAAAACTGATTTGAGTAACTTTGCTGGTCAACTCTGTAACCGCTGGCAGTTTTGTCTGCAACAGGTTCTGCGTTCCTCACCTCGGTGGGACGGACTTGGCGCTCACACAGACATGTAAGCGATGCGAGATCGAAGGCGCGGGCTTCCAAATGTCGTATTTATCTGAGAATCCAGTGAGTGCTTTCTCTGCCAGTGATTAGCCGGATCTGCACGCACAGCAGGCAACAAACAGTCCGCGATCGCACAGTATACCAGCTGTGCTTCCACCAACATGAGCGGACGGTTGTAACAACAGGCGACAATAAAAGAAACTCGCCCGTCCCGTTGTTTGTCACGGGTGACCCCCACAGGTGGGTTGTACTGTTTTCCACGTGACATCTGATCGATCGATAAACTCTGTGACTGGGTGTCGGGTGATTTTGTCCTTACCGTCAATAATTAAGTCCATACAGGAGTTGAGAGGCTCTAACACGTCCACAATACCACTCGGATAGTACTTGCTCCGGAAGCAGTGAGACCATTTACTCGGTTGTTTGTCAGCGATAGCTAGTCGGTAGAACAAGCTGGACATGGGACAATAGCCGAGGGGATCAGCCTTTGTTGAGGCACTACGCAATGAATGTTGCGCAACGTCGAACTCCGATACGCCCTACGAGGAAATCTTTACTTGGATTTGCATGTAGCCAAAGGCGATGCGGTCCTTTGTTGTGCCATTATGTGTGATCTAATGGAATGTTTCTTGACTTCAAAAAAGACTTTTTAAGTCCATGATTTTGGGGAACATTTGTGTAATGACCAACGAATTTCCTGAAGGTGATTCAGTGTGAATGTTCGATCTTCGACAGACACTTGGACGTGCAGATGAACGTTTAAATTGAAGGCAATGTATTGACCCAGAAGGAGATGGACCATGCGCCAAGAAGGTAGTGTTCCCTGGGAAGATACAGATAATAAATCAGTCAAGTCTCTGTCACAACTAACGACATTTTGGGTATATGGTAGCAGAATTCTAAAACCGTTTTCAGATTAGTTTTCAGTTTGAAACACGGGTCCGTCCAAATATATTGCTATTCCTTGTTCCTTTGGCATCTGCGACAACCCAGACACGTAACCTACCCCGTCTTGATACCCTAGTTGCAGGCACTGACGGGAATGGTGATGACGTTTACGAAATTGGAAATATGAATTATCGATGATATAACTGTGGTAGATCAATCTTGACGGTGTTCAGCCCGCCTTTCGATACATTGTTCCCATGTCACGGTTGCATCTGTCAACGGGCACGGCATCTAACCAAGTGATACACCTCAACGGTAGCTGTTGTCATTCAGTATTTTGGTCATTCCAAACGTAACTATCGATTGTCGTACAGTAAGACTGTACACAGTACGTGCAATCACCTTCAGCTCACATGTGTACATGTCAAACTGGATTACAAGGTAATCAGGGGTAGAACCTCATGATAAACTTCGTGTGTGACTCATTCGTATATAGTTCTGTTGTTAACTTAAGTTTGTAAATTCAGTAAACACATGTCACCTAGCCTGATTTAAAATTCCAAGTTTTGAGCTCATCAGATCAGTGCTGTGATTTCATTCCCTAAACTATTTGGCACTTAATGGTCGATGGTCGGACGGTAAATGGAAAAGGTGTTAATATCAGTGTTCACTAAGTAGCCGAAACAATATTCTCAGTGAATTATATTAAATATTGTCCAGAAACAGGAAGCCACAGGTGACATCTGGCATTTTACCGTGAAACTGACATCGCCACGCTGACCTGATGGAGGATCTCCATGCTAGATTGGAGCACGAGTGTGAAATGTACATATCCTGAAATGTACACGGGGAAAACGTGTGTCCGTGAAATATACAGCACCGTGGGATATTGACAGCTGAACGAGATACTTCTTTCATTAAAGAGACCATGAGTGGAATATTGTTTTTTTTGTTAGGAAATCGTGTTCACTCACGATGTAATAGAATGGATATGTGTCACAGGTGGAATTGCCAACTGGCCATGGATTCTATCGAGGTTATTTTACGTCGCAATATAATGAGTGTCGAAACTTCATGAATAGATCACTCGTAGCAATAGCTCTCAAAAAGCAATAAAATATTTTGATCAGTGGCCTGTTAAGGTAGCATTGTGCAAAGTTTGGTATTTTGGCAAAACAGAACAAGCTGGCTCTGGAAGGTGTGAATCTTTATTTGTCAATGTCTGTGTGGACCAGCTGTAGAATTACCAACAGTGATCGCAGCATTGGATATATACGAGGATAAACATGTTTAATCCGGGAGAAATAGCCAACAGAAGAAGGAGGAGAAGGGGTAAGTGATTTTCTCATCTCTCGTAGTGTTCTAATACCATGGCAGCGCTTCGTGCGCAGCGTTGAACATCGCACGAGAATCACGTGCATCTGCAGGGATATCGTCGACTCTTGTACATTTCGGTGTGCACGACGGTGTCTTCAATCACCGACGCCCTTAATCTGATATACATGTATCCCCTTACTGATTCACTGCTTCATCTTTGAGTATCACACAAAGCTAATGCGAATATTTGGTGTTGTGGGGGTTTTGCTTCTTTTTAGACGAGTAGTATATATGTCATTGTGTATACTACTAGACGTATTTGTACTTTCATTTTTACAGGTGAAATTTCATTAATACTTTGTTCATTTAATTTAAGCATATAAGATTGTCTATTTAAATTCCAAATTCAGAAGTTGTCAAAAGACACGTGTATGTAAAACCTGGCTTCGACACTATGGTGATGTGAACCCATACGTTTGGCCTTCATATTAACATTTGTCTAATTATTACCTAATGCATTAAACATCATAATATCAGGAACCAGATTACGACCGTTTGCATATGTTGTTTATGACACAAAAAGACAGAGGTAAATATGTCCACCCCGAGCCTCCGCGTATTATTAGTGGACATTGTCCAAAATGAATAATTTAACACGAACACTTTCATGTAGGTAAACATGTACGTATGATAAAGGGCCAAGATGTTTCACATCAGTACTTGTGGCAACGTTTTGTCAGACCCGTTAGATGGAGAAACATTTCCATCACAGGTACAGTTGGTTAGCATTGCACCTGAATGTGAAACCACATTAAACGACTAGCGATAAATATCACGCTTGGACTGGTATATGAAACATCGCTAACCCTTCTGGAAACTGTACAGGCAACCTGTCACTGTGTTGGTGCACTCGGTTTTGGGCTTGTGTTTGTCAGAGAGATGTATCTACTTTCTATTTGTGTTTGTCGGAGAGATGTTTCTACTTTCCATCTGTTCCTATCCTCAGCTTCAGTCAGTAACTGAAATGATTTTCATCAACAGTCAACGTGATAGCGGTGGTCTGTGTATATAAGTAAAACTACCTCCTCACCTGCTGCTGTTGTTGTGTAATGGAACGAAGGTGTTAGATTTAGTACATTATAAAGCTAAGCGGTTTCTTTATCAACACCTTGCATTGTTGTAGTTTCGACGTCATTTAACAGCTGGGCGCTATGTGGAGTTTGGTGAATGGGTGCTTATTAACGACTGATACAGCCAGTGCTTCTTTGAGTGAGGGTGCTACCCACATGGTCCTCTGAATCCCCACTACCGCTGGTTAATACTACTTGACATAAATCTCTGGAACCGAGTCAGAATATAGTCTACATAGGGGGATAGAATATAGTCTACATAGGGGGAATGTCGATCATAGACACACACATATACAACACGTTTATACTTCATAAAAGATTACGACTTGAAGTTGATTTACAGAAACGATATCGACAAAAATATAAAGGAAACTTGTAGGTACAACAATAATATTTGAAACTGTTGGTTCTGTGTACTAGATGTCATAAGATTTGCGTCCCACGGTCCACACACGGCTGAGTCCAGAGTACCTGCTACACCGAGCCGATGCGAGGTTATATACTACCCATCAAAAGTTTAGACTCACTTAAAGCACTCTCTACATGTTATGTATTATATATGTGGCTACATCAAAGGTGAATTTCTCCACAAACTTGGGGGAATAAAATTGCAAACCTTATGCAGATGAACTGCACGAGGATCAATCATCAAATTGCTGAAAAACATGTGCAAATATTGTGCATGTGAACAGCTGCATTTTGCTGTAAAGTTTTGTTAAGAATTTCACCAATTTTCACTGAGTTTCATCATTTATTGAACTCATGACAATATTCTTTTCAACGTTACGAATTTGTTTTACAATACATCAGTTCATGTGTAAATAGTACCTTTAAACAGTATGGAATATTTTGCAAAATCTAGTTTAGAACAGTTGACTGAAGTAAGTGGCTACATTTACACTAGTGATGGGTAGTATATTTTATGAGCTCACTCATTCTTAATAGACTCCCGAACCAGGAACGTGTTTGGTTGTCTCATCAATGGGTCTTCGGTTACTATGTTATTAGCTGAATGAACCGGCGTCTGTTGTCGGGCTCAACGTTGTGCACAACGTCTTTGACAACCGATTCATCTGAAACAAGACACGTGACTAGATTAGTTCCATGTCATGTTCGAAATCTAGTTTGTTTCTAATTGGTACAACAGGAGGCGATTTGTGTACAACGTGACTTAAACCAGATTAACACGCTCAATCTGTCACAGAGCTAGAATCATTTGGTTGTCACAAATTCATAAGGCGTTCAGTATTTCTCTGAAGTGGAAAATCTTTAATGCATATCTTAGTTCGATTGTTTAAGTATAATAACTGAAGGGTAGTATACCGACTTTGTTTTTTATGTCAGTGAAAATGAGAAGAACTGAGGTTATATTTGATTATGTCATTTAACCATCACTCATTCCTGATTTCCTACAACAGTTTTGAAAATGTAATACATGGTTTCATGGATTTACAGTTACATGACTGGCCCCTAGATATTTTAAATGAGAGTTGATTTGTGCCGAGAAACAAATTACCCATAAGCGAATTTTGCTTTTAATGTTTTGAATAAAATCATATGGAAGTTATATTGAGTGTTTACTAAACAATAGCATGTTTCATCTTTGTATAAAACATTTCTGAAAGTATTTGGATAATGTGTTCTCGTATAGTGACAGCTGGTTAACATTGTCGTCAAGTACTTTCACTAGGTGCCAGACAAACCATTATCACATGCCCCATGACGGAGGGTTTTATCGGTGGTCAGTGACGGTGTCAGGACAAAATCAATGTGTTATCCCATGTAGTTCACACATGCTGTACCATATGCTAGCTGAATGGGCGAGGTAATGTGAAGACATGTTGACGATACGGCCTCATCACCGTATAGCATGATAAAGTTAGTGCCCGAGACGGGTTGTATGTACGTGTGTGTACTGGGCTTGATTAACTGTGTCAGGTGGTTTCATTAATGCCTGGCGCTATGTGAGATGGCTTGATTGACGACGTGATGCTATTATTTTTCAATATCCCTCCTACTTGTTGGCAGGTCACAAGAATATGGCTGGGGGGAAATTATGTGATGTGACTCATGCTACAGGAATCTTCCTAGTAGTTGGTCAAATTTTCTTACGGTTTGACACTGTAAGGTCGCTTGATGAAAGACTTCACACAGTGAATCAGCTTGATAACGTTTGGCACTATATACGGTGGCAATATCACACCATGACTCTGTCATGTCAACAATCACTGGATTGTTTGGTCCAGACTCGACCGGTACCGGACCACCTCCATTCAGCTTGAACATTGCTGAGTGTGACCTTAATCAACAGTACCCCCCCAAAAAACCCCCCAAAGCATGCAAAAGAACAAAAACACCCCTCACCCCCCCAAGAAAAACAAAACCAAAAAACCCCAAACAAACAAACCCAAAAACATACAAAAACAAAAACCAAACAAACAAAACAATAAAACAGCAACAACAACAACAACAACAACAACAACAAAAACAACTGAAAAAAGAAAAAGGTTAAAATCACGAAGTTAAACGATGCTATGTCAACATCTGCCTCCTATCAACAGTTATGTCATTAAACAGAGGCGTGTTAATAGGTGTACGATATTTGATTTTCACCCTGTCTCTGAATGTGTTGATATGTTAAGTGTAGAGCGGACATCATGGACAGTAGTCACAGATACTGTTAACCGACGGAAGGATAATGTATAGTTAACTCCACAAACGAATACACGAATGGTTACAATGTGTAACATGTCTGATTACACCCAAATCGAATATGTCGGTTGTGATGGATGCTCACGTTATCAATCACTAGTTTTATAAATCAGAATCGATATTCACAGGCTATAATACTGCAAACCGCCTGTTAAAAGAACTTGCATTCCGTTTGCAGATGTAAACGTGGGGTTTTGTTTTTCTAACGGTAAATATCCAACCAAATCAGAAATCAACGAAATGTTTCACCATAGGCTTTGGTTGTCATAAATACTTCATTTAATTAAGACGATATTAGGTTGCATGTTCGTTGTCCAGTTTCACGAACCAGCAAAATATATGACAGTGCTGAAATGACATTTGCATCGACAGTAGCACATCTCAGCCTCTGGGGTAATATTGCTTTTAATAAACTGACACTCTTTCCCAACTGTACGTTATATACGAGCAGTCCTCGCCCTGGGCGTCCTTTGTCTTGCACGTAGGACTAACTAAGATCAATACCAAACACCGAGCCCTCCGAGACATATCAATAACTGTTTCTACCGACACCCCATCTTCCATCTTAACAGTACACGCCAAGTGTCACTTGGTCAAACACACCGGGTCTGTACCAGAACCCAAATACATGTACCAAGGTATTTCTTAATCGATTTTTAGATAGGACAAAAATCCATGTTACAATAATTTAAGAGAGAAGGAATTATCAAAATCTGTTTAACACTCGCCGATACTAGATATATATCCTGGTTTGTAGATGGTGTTACTCGTACATCATGATCCTATTTATCAATATAATGAATATACAAAGGGTAGTGATAGTGGACCCCAAATCGACAACATTTAGTGCCCCGAGCGTCGTAAGTATTTATTTTGTGTAGATGTATCAGTTGTGTGGTTAGAACCTCTGTGTATGTTGTGGGTTGTCAATATTGATTGGATGGATGTGGGAGTCAAGATGTCAAGATGTGATGATATTCCAGGCACACACGAAGCAATATATACGGGCCTTCCCACTTGGTGACGTCAGTCACTCTGTATGTCTATGATGGGCATTAGGAGAGATGTACAGTGAAACTAAGAGGATGTATTGCATCCAGCCTCACTCACTCACCCACAGTATTGTTCTCATAGGCCTAACGGTGGAGGTCGCCGACGCCTATGATCAGTTAT